AATTTAATCAAATATAGCCAAATGAACGATAAAATGGTATTTCCACACTCGATTTAGAAAACATAACTCGAGTACCTTATCAAATTAAACTTAACCATTTAAATAAAATACAGATTTTTTAACTAACCCGATGATGATATTTTAGCGTTGTTTCTAAACAATTATATTAATGTTTTACGAGTATTTTATTCTCAAAATATTTAATTATTATTGGTTTGTGTAATGGTAACAATATATTGAATAATAATCGTAGACAGTGTAAATCTGGTTCGTCCAACACATAACACAAGACAAAGTTTGTATTGGTGCAAATAAGTATTTTTATAATGTGTGTTCACTAAAACTAAGGGAAAACATTTTGTTTTTGTTTAGGTGGAACTTTAGGTAGAGTATTTATAGTAGGTATGAGAACTGAATGAAAAGGGGACAATGTTTGGCTCCTTTACTGAGGCATCCTTCAGATCTCTATAGTTTGTTTATTTATCTGTAGACAGTTTCTTTTCACCTCGCTCTTGGCTAAAGAGATAAACTCAGAAGACTTCGTGAAAAAAAAAGTGAAACTCTGATTCTGGCCTCATTCGGACGCTGACAGCAGAAGAAGTCGGAAAAGCACAACAAGTCGCTTAGTCTTCTTACATTCTGACCAACGTAGGACTGCTTTGTTCTACGTAAACTCCAACGGTATTATGAAGAACAAAAAATTAAAAGTAAGATAATAATATTAAAATAAAAGTGAATGAATAAAACAAGTAAATAAAAGAAAGAAGTTAAGATAAAATAGTAGTCAAATTACGTAGATGTGCAATTTGACTACTTTTTAAGCGGTGAAAGCCCGACAGATCTAGTGAAAGTCTACAACTAAAAGTAAACTCTCAGTTCATAATGGGATTTTTTTGAAGCTCTTATAATAAACTTTAAATGTCTTACCTTAAAAGTTTGCAAGTTATTTTATGGAGACTGCATTCCTTTGTCTTTGCTCTCTTGAAGACGCAGAAAACACGCAAAAACTTGCTAAAAATGAGCAAATCTATACGAGGATTTTCAGTAGCATTCATTCTCAAAGAAAGTCATTGTAAGACGGTGGAAGTGGATTGGAAGTAAAGAGGTTTAGCAGTCGAGTCAAGAAACTTAGCAGAAGTGGCGAAAGAGATGCGTCACTTCTTGTTCAAAGCAGCCCATTTCACAGTAGAGATGTAGGTTTACTCTCTGAATTTGGTAAATTTAATGCATTACATTTAATAATAATCTTGAATTTTGCTTCTACGGAAAACTATATTATACCTAAATAAATAAGAAATATCCTAAAAATATTTTAATCATGAAGTACTTATCTAATTCAGACTTAAGTGCTTATTCTAACCCGAGTATAACGCAGAAGTTAAATGGCGTGAATCAGAAAAGAACAGCAACGTCTTTATTCTCCACATTGTAGGTTTATATTATTACTGTATAATTTGGTTATATGGGAAACAAGCGAAAATGCTGAAAATTTTACTTAAATCTTTAACATGCAGAATTTTGTTGTGGTGTGAGTTTAGTTCAAACTCAATTATTTACAATAGCTACTGCAGTAATGATATAGGAGTCATTCTATATAATATTTTTATTTTTCAATATATTAGAAAGTTTTATACGAATTTGATTTTCTATTGAACTACTAAGTTAACATGCTAGGATTGGTCTGGGTCGGTCAATTCGTTTAGGAGGTGATGCGTCAACAGACAGA